CAATTGGAAAAGGTCATTGACAAGAACGGCTAATATCTAACTGAATAAAGTTATATTTTTAAACAAAAATTCCGAATTTGCCTTCTTATTTGAAATCGGCAACGACTTAGTTGCCAACCTAATAAACCAGAAATCTAAAGACAAAAGTCCAACGTGTTATTTACCAGGGATAATTCTTCACCGTGGTGTCATGCTCTACCTACCACTTCGTCTCCTACCACCTTCCAAGGCCATCTGAAAATTTAACTTGAAGGGTTCGCTAGCCTTTGCCCCCATTCGAAATTATTAACCTTTCATTTTTCCATGAAGCATACATTAAGAAGAAGCGACTTGAAAGTGGGTGATGACCACTTGAAAGGATATTTCAATGCGCTTGTCTGGTCTGCTATCCTTCATTAACTAGTTTCAATCAGTACGGGTGATCGTTCCAACAACCCCGGAATATTTACCACTCGGAGATTTTGTGTTGACGCTCTGGGAGAATTTGGGAAAGTATTTATTTATAACAAATGGCAGGCGTTTCGATAGTTATCATTAGCCTTTTAGTTGACTTCGGGCTTCACAGAGGGCAGGAGGAACATCAAAGTGGGAAGAATTCGGGAGGATGAATAGAAGAGTGATTCACAGATGTTACAGAGACAGACAGTCACCAAGGTAGAGAAAATGGTGAGTTGAGTACTGTGAAAGGAGTCGAATATGACACAATGGGGTGATGGTAGTTTAAAGTCAGAAGTCAACTGCCGGTTATAGACCTTTTTGCCGAATGATTATACGTTGCCCAGGGTGCACCACGAGGAGGTAAGTCTATCCATCACCCCAATTTGGGAAATTTTGAGTAGATCGTTTGATCCGCTGGATGTGTAGTTCACTTCTCGGGGTCCTATCACTGTGTTCTTGTATCTTTTTTTTACAAAAGAGGTTGATTAATCTACCCTGATGTTTTAACTGTCTTTGTTTTTGATTGACAAGTCTTGTCTGCCGGCATTCACAGCTGATTGGCTGGTTTGCCATTTAGCCACGGATTTCGCGTGAATTTGGAAATCCGAAATTGTGACTTGGTCAACTCGAGTGTCTGGGTATTCGGGGTCTCGAAAGATGTCCAACTGAATAAATTAAACAATTCACAGTAAATATAGGTCAAACTTGTATTAGGGGGGTGGGGGTAGGGAATGAGAAGTCACGCTGAAGGATTGGTTTCAAGTATGTCTAAACTTCCTGATTTAGAATCCAGAGTTGTCGAACCACATTTCGATACGACCACTTATCCAGGTAATTAAAGAAATTTTACGCTGGAGGAGTTGACCCACTCGCAATCAATCACGTTGCTCAAAATATCCCAACTTTTTGCGCAAATGTAACAGAGACGATGAGATCGGTCCCTTTTGTGGTGATTTAATTAAAAAAATGCGCTCACTGTTTTTAGGTGCTGCTTTTTATTGGCTGCCTTTTGTTCAATGAAATTCGATTTGACCTTAATTATATAAGCTCGATTTGTCGGGCAGGGAAATCAAGATATGTACTCAAATGAAAGCGATTTAAACAATTGAATCTCATTAAAATTCATGATAAAAAGTGCGCCTAGCAGTTTTCTTGATATAATGGAAGTGGAGAGGTGCGTTTAATCTGGAAGTGGAAATAAATCACCGAAAAATTGTTTGCTTCAATTTTTCCTCCCTCAACATCACTCAAATCTCACTTTTTAGAGTCACATCCCGTTCTTGTGCACTTATTGGCTATCCATGGCCATAAGTTGATTGTTTCAGCAACGTGGTGTTCTCAATTATTGATTGATTAAAGGATGGAAATTAGTTTCCTTGCATTGTTTCGTATTCATTCCATACTTGGCACTATGAGTGCCTGACCGAGATCAATTATTTATTTATTGATCAATCGAACTCTAGTAGTAGTTGCACTTTCAATTATTGATTTATTTTACGTTTATATTTTTTGTAGGTTCCAGGCGAGAAGAGTACGCTGAAAGTGGTTTCATCAAAGCACAAGCTTTACTACTCTGATCTTGACCTTGAAGAACTTCGATTAGCCGATGGGAATGGAGACGTGGAGCACTTCCAGCGTGGTCCCAATGGCGTAGATGTTCTTCTTTGTCCTCTCTGATTCGGTGTTCATTGTTAAGGCCAATCAGTGTGTGCGTGTGTATCTGTGTTTGAATGTCTCATCTTCATCCATCACACCCTTCTCCTGTTCATATGACCTGCGAGAATCAATCATCGGCCTTCGCCTATTCTTAATAACGACATCAGTACTGACACATTTGGATCAATAAATAAATCCTTGAAAATACAGCACGTACTATTTTCGAATATTTATATCAAATGGCAGGTTTTATGATAGTTATCATTAGTCCTTTAGTTGACTTCAGGCTTCATGAGAGGAGGAGGAACATCAAAGTGAGAAAAAGTCGAGAGGTACTTATCATTACCCCTTTAGCTGACTTCGGGCTCCACAGAGGGTTGGAACGTCAAAGTGAGAAAAAGTGGAGAGGGGAGACA